TGAGTGGCGGTTGATCTTTATATGTGTAGCAAAATCTGCTCGCGGACGCCCACGCGGCGACGTTTGGATAGTCGAGGCAGATAGCGGGATAGCAGAAGGTCACGGTTACTTCAGGCACAATTGGCTGAAAACAGGAGACATCGGCGTTTGTGTGTGTGGGGGGGGGAGAGGGTGGTTAAACCGACGCAGACGACTGTACAGGAACCTTGAAGGGGGCATAAGGAGGGATGTCTACCTGGAGAAAAGAATAATCAGAAACTAGGCATCTGTGAAGGCAGTGAGGAGGGGAGAGGGGCGTGATTGAAATCGGACCATCCGACTGGAAGGTCGGTTGCGGAAGTCGACAACAGCTTGGCTCTGAATAGGTGTGCACAAGACTGACACACCCGCGCACAGGAAGTGGAGTTAAACACCGGGAGGTGGATTTCCACTGAAGTCAAAACTGTCGGGGACGTCCGTCTGTTGGAAGGAATAGCCACCGGCCTTCTCGATTTCTTTGGATTCTGTTGGAGAGGGCAGAAAATGCTGTATTTAGTACGACAACAGGAGAGCAGTGAAAAGCAGTGCAGTTGCGATTTAAGTCGCAGGACCGGTGGAGGCGCCTTTACCGCCTTAACATGAGTATTTTCGATCGCAGAGCATAGCATAGCCCGTAAGCTCGTGGTTGAAGTGGTAGAGGCCTATACTACTGATAAAAGCAATGTTCGGCTAAGGTAGCGCAGTATGAACGAAAACCTTTAAGATATTTTCAAGTATAAATGAGAACATGGAGATGTAAAAAATATTCAAAGACTAAGATCCATGTCGATGACGGCTAGTACGCCAAGAATAATTATCATCGATCGGGTAATAGGAATCTCATGCTAGCTCGAAAACAGTCAAACAGTGACTCAAAAGTAGGAACCGATTGGCAGGAAGGGATAAGGCAGACTGAAAGGACCGCTTACGCTGCAGTCAAAAACATGCACTTTTTGGATGAGCATTCCGCCCTACCTTGGCAGATATATAAACAAATTGGCCGGAAAACGCACCATACCATTGGGATGTTTAAAAAACAATTGTACCCTAGCCAGTAAATTTAGACCCGAATGTTCCACAGTAAAGAGCTCGACTTACGTTTCTGCTGTATGCACTTGAGTGCTGTCTCAGCGATGTTTTTGAACTCTGTCTTCTGGGCTTCCGAGAGCGGGGCTACCAGTTGTTGATACCACCCAGGATGAGTCTGCTCCATGTCCGTCATCAACTGGTAGAAGGTGACGTACTCGTCCATCTTGCACTCGTCTTTGTCCAGGTCCGTATCGAATTCCTCCAGAACAGAGTCCGCATCAAAGTCGTCGTCGTCGTCCTCATCACTGTCACTGGCTTCAGCCTCCTAAAATGCACCAAAAGGCAAGTAACAGGACAGCCCGTTCGCGAAGGAGGTACACAATTTAGGGTTTCAGTCTGAAGAAGGGGAAGGCGTTGTAGAACGAATGTCGGCGGCTGATTTTTATGCATGCATATCCTTACTATAAAACTAAACACACAATAAGCTCTTCAGCTGCATAAAAGTGCGCAAGCTCTGCGGTCAGATGCCCAGTCGACAGGTCAAAGGTGACAAATACGAACTTACTCGACGGTAATTTACGTGTGCAAGTTTTAGTACCCTCATTGGAGATTACCAAGCTTACCTGGGGTTTAAACTCGGCATTCTATTATCACCATAGCTGCTAATCAACAGATGAAAATTCGCCCGGGGTAGTCTATGAAAAGTGTGTTGACACTCGGGTGCCCTGGGCCAAACGAGTGAATAAATGTTGGCGGGGGGAGGGTGGTAAGCCCGTTCCTGACGACCGGGCTCGATA